CCCCCCCCATTCCCCTGGACGAGTAGCCCTCTGCCCGCGGCTTCTCGTCGTACCCCATCCCTCCACCCATTGCAGAAGAGTGTCCACCACCGCGACGGCCGTAGCCGCCGCCATGATGGCCACCACCGGCATTGCCGCCGTGCACACCTCCCCGGCCCCCTCCGCCGACCCCCATCTCCCCTCCCATGCTGTCCACCATGTCGTCATTCATGCCGTCGTCCATGTGGTCGTGCATCATGGCGTTGGGCATCGAGCTCCGCCCTCCGCCGCCGCTGCCTCCACCACCTCCGAGGTCCGCCGTGTCGACGCTAAGGCTTCCCATGCGGGCGAGGGCGAGGTCGATGGTGGGCTCGAAAGGCCGGTCGGGAACGATGACCTTCTGTAGGAACGACACCATCACATTCTCTTCGTCCACCGAAGGTGCCTCCTGCGATTTCGGATTTTTGTGCGCGGATCGACGGTTCCGGGATGAGATCCTAGCTAGTAGTTGATTGGTAAGACTCCCAAGGTTGATTTCAAGTTCCTTTCCCGGCTGGTAAGAACGCACGAAAAGTGCAGACAGCGGCAGCATGGCACTGGGAGCCCAAACACACCATGTTCATCACTCTTACGATTCTTTGGGCGTGCTGCTTCTCTTTCTCCCGCCTCCGCCCCGCCAGACTGCCCCGTACCCAACAATCTCTCCTCTCCACAACCCAGCCCAAAAAAAAAACTTCACAACTCACACACAGGAGGCACGGAGCCAGGAAGATTTTCCCAGACCACCACTCCCCCCCCTTTAGCACACAAAGGGCGTTTTCGAATTTCTTACTGTACCCCTAGCACGCAGCACAAAGGAAGAGACGACGAGAACGGTATGTACTTCTAGTTGACGATGTCCACGAGATGTATACCTGAAAATGTCTGGCGGCAGCGACGGCCAGCTCGGCCTGTGAGCAGTCGGGGCGGACGTTGATGCCGTGAAGCTTGCAGTACTTCTGGAGGGTACGATACTGTTCGTCATCGTCATCGTTGTTGCGATCGTGTTGGCGGGAGCGGAGGCAGCGGGGGAGGGGACATGGGACGGCAGCGGCGGAAGGAGACGGTTGTTGGATGGAACGCATACATCAACTTACGGGGACAAACATCACCAACTCAACACCCACCCATAACATCATAAACTCGAACGGGTTGTCAGTCTTTCTGTGTTTGTTTTTTTTTTTCTAGCAAACCAAGAAAATACACAGCACGGACGGAGGGCTTAGGGTTTGTGCCGCATCTGTCTCTCCAAATCAAGCTTCGCTTAGCTTGGTGTAGGGGACGCAGAACAGCACACATTGTAGGGTTTCAGGATCTGGAGATGGGTTTTGTAGGCGCTACACATGTGAAAGAGACAACCCCGCCTACAGGGGGGAGAATTGTGCACGCGACTGGAAGACATGCTATGTATCTGCAGCCAGTACAGCAGGGCCAAGCCCGCCCCACCGAGCCGCACACACGGACGGCGGAAACAAACGTTACCATCGTGCATTTTCTTCGCAACGTGCTTTAATGTATATTCCACGTACCTGTCCGCCACGTACCAGCAGAGGACGAACACGAACGTGTATGCATACGTACGCTTCCCTTTCATGAAACCCTTCAGTTGATCAACTACAGCAGTTGTGTTCCTGCGCTTGAGCGCCCTCGCGTCTATTTACTCAGTGGCAGCGCTCTCGTGCTAGTGTTCAGGCGGCCGCTCTGTTGGGGCCGTTGCGCCTTCGCGTGACTGCTTTTCTTTTAGCATGTACGCCTGGTTCTTGAAAATTTCGAAAATTATGCTCCACCATATTATATAGTTTCGCGATTGTGCGCAATTGTTCGGTGCCGACGGAGGTTCGACTTGCATACGCTTTTTTTTTTTTGTCAGCATTGTACGGCAGGAGGAATGGCTGCGACAGGGTGTACCTGACAGACTGGGGCACCCCGGTCAAGACAAGAAACAAAAGCTCAAACAGTCGACCACTTCTCTCCACCTCTGAATGCTACACATGTGTCCATACAGAGGCAAGAGTCGCGTCTCCGTGTGTCCTGAACTTGCGTTCAAAAAGTCCGTCCAACACCAAGGGATACACGCCAGAGCGACGACCGACGCTCCACAGAAAACTGCTGCTGTACGTACAGCGAGTGGATCCACGGTCTTGGCGTGAACCATGGCAGGGGACGCTTAAGAGCTCTACAGCGACAAGCACCAGGCCGCCGTTAGAACGTCGTGTGGACTTCAGGGAAGCAAGGATGTGCGGGCTGTGTGCCTACAGGCCGGAGGCTGCCGTTCAACAACAACCCCCACGAGGAGTGCAGCACACATGTTGTAAGACTTCTGCAGCGCACATGCGGCCACGCTTGTACTGCTGCAGGGGCGTCAGAGACGGAGAGCCGCAACAGCCGTGAGTAACACCAACAGCTGTAGCGCTAAAGCTTCTCAGCTAACTCTCCAACGGCGGTGAGGAGGATGAATGTGGAGACCAACGAACGCTCCGAAAGCACACCACAGACACGCGGAATGACAACAGACTGCCGGTGAGCCTAGCTGATTACCAGCGGCGGAGCAAAAGGCACGGGATCCTCCTACTCCGCGCCATCCAGCGAGACACGGGACTAGCGCTGGGTGCTGCTTCTGCTGTACGTATGTTGCCGTTTGGGGATGTAGAGATGATGGTGTGCCAACCAGCTGGATAGACCCAACGCTAATTCCGCGGCCTGTTGATACGGACTCGCTGCTCACCTCTAGCCTCTTGAAGTTCACGCAGAGAGTCCTGGGGTAGGTCTCGTCTCGGTGGAAGGGGAAGTACGGCCCTGGGGAGACCGTATCGCGCAACCCGTTCATGGCGAGGGCATCCAGCGGGGGAGCTTACTAGTGAGACGACCTGGACACAGCAGCAGCTTCGACACGAGCAAGCAGCAGTAGGGGGAGGTGTCTGCGAGACCACGATCCGACGACGGATGTAGGTACCTCTCGCTTAGCCCTCCTTTTATGCCTGACTTTCCGTGTGTGCCTTCCTATATCTCTGCGTGTCTCTCTCACTGATCTAGCCGCAACCCCTGCCACCCTGTCGCCTGTCGCCTGCGTTGTGTAATCCCCTGCGAGCTTACACACACAGCACAGCAGCAGCAGTAGTAGCAGCCCGCGGCGGGCTTTCGGCAGCGGGATCCATTTCTAAAACAAAAAAAAGTACAAAAAAGTACGGCGCCTTTTATTTGCAAACCCTCAGTCTGCAGACCGCGAACATCAGGCCGCAGCAGCAGCAGCAGAGAGCGGTGCCGTTGGTTCAGAAGCGCTCTACGCACACCACGGGAGGGGGAGCCACTGGTTGAGAGCGAGGAAATCGCGTGAACGGAGAGCTGCTGTGGATTGGTTTCTTCTGTCCGAAGTGTCCTGATCTGCTTTTGTGTGCAAGCTTTATTGCTGCTGGTGCTCGAGGGAAAAAAGGTCAAACTGTCCGACACGCCTGCCGCGGCGACAGACAATAGCGCGGCGTCGGCTAGTATGTGCGCTGGCGAAGAGATGCCGTGGATGGTCAACAAGTTCGGAGGGACCAGCGTGGCTAGCGCGGAGGCCATGCGGATGGTGAAGGACATCGTTATGGGCCAGGTCGAAACGTAAGCAGCAGTCTCCTCCGTTAGTTGACAGATAAGACTACAGCCTTCGTTCATGTTTCGAGGCATACCTCAGCTTGGATGCTTCATACAAAGGTGGTTGCGGCACACCACCACCGCGTTGTCAATCAGCTTCCATGTGTTGACAATACGAACAAGGTTAACGCCAGCCTGCTCAAAATGGTAAGGCTATTGCTCACGATTGCTGCTAGTGTCAGTAAATGGTCTGGGATGACTTACTCTTGTTTTCCTATAACGAACAGCGGTCTAACCTTGCAACCAAAGCAGGTCAGCAGGTCGCCATTTTATTCAATCCACCGAACCAACCTTAACCTTCCCTGCTAGATGCAGATGCAGACGGTCGGTTATTCGTTGCGTAGCACGTGCGTGACCTCACTGGTTTGAAATACTTCAACGCTTCCATGTATTCCGCATGCCCCTAATCGCGGGTGCGATATACTCCGATCACCTCATGTGTACACTAGTCTAGAGATCGTTATACTGTCCGAAGATTATTTGATAGATCGGGCAGATTCCATTTTCATTTGTAAATTGAGACGTGAAAGCCGCCACCACTCACCACTGCTGTTAGAGGACCACATGCGATCTTGTGTGCCGGTAAATACCGTAAGAACGCGAGAGATGGCACCGGGTGCGATCGTGGTTTTCGATGTTGCTCTTCTTGTTGATTTGTGTTTTGCGATCCCCGGGTGCCGTAACCCCGAACGGTGCCATTTCACCGATACCGGTGCGCTTGTACGACTGAATCAATTCGTTCTAGCTTTTTCGAGGCACCCCGGTGCCATCTCCCCGATGGGTGCGATACTGGATATAGCATCACCACACAGCGGCTTGTTGGCACCTACAACCGTACCAGCAGAGGTTCGGTTGTACTGCGATTAATTGTTAAGCAAATGACACATGTGGTAGCTAGCTTACCGTAGGTTACCAGTACCCAGTGTCCATGGGGGTTGGATGCGAGTTTAGCTTTGGCGCAACTACGTAGGAAAAACGATATGTTCCTCGTCTGGGAGGGGTACACACGGATGGTAGCAATTTCTCTCCCGCTTTCGTGTTTGCTGGGGTGCTTCCCTCGGTTATTGCGGCATTCCTCGACTTGCACCATGTGATTCATGTGATTCTTCCCTCTGCATGGTGAGTAGGTTGCGACGTACGTGCTGTGTACTTGGTTGAGAGTATCCACAGTCCATAGCGGTGGAATGAAAACAACTTCCGCTCATTTCAACGTGTGAATCGCGATGGTACGTCAAGGAGCGGCGCCCCGATGATATCCTGACCACATACAAAAGGTACCCATTGCATGTACTTCTTTACAGCAGCTCGAAAGAGTCCCGGGCACACGTGCGGAGCCCGTCAATCTTCAATTTGTATCCCACCTGCGATACCGGTGCGGAAATCGAAAAAATCATGCCGTGTTCCTCTTTCTCCCGCACTCCGGCGTGGTTTCTCCGATGGTGGTGCCATCTTACCGATTGGTGCCATCTATCACATTCTCACTGCAGTCAAAGTTGGAAGCAGGAAAATTTGTAGCGCCCGTGTACCGGAGAGATGTACGTATCAGCACCATATGCTGGTAGACTGCTTAACCAACCAGCGTTCTGTCTGTCTGTCTGTCTGTCTGTCTGTTTGTCTGCTTGTCTGCCTGTCCGTTTATGCCTCTCTCTCCGTTTCCCTCTCTCTCACCATACTCCCTCTATTACTTGTTGCTGTGCACCGTCGTCGAACCACGCCTCATCCTCCTGGTGGCTCGCAGGCGAGGGGACGCGGGCAAGATGGCCGTGGTCGTGAGCGCCATGGGCGGAAAGCCCAAGGTCACCGACCTCCTGCTCAACTCTGTTGCTCTCGCGGCTGCGGGTAATCGCGAGGGCTCTGAGGTGTGTTTCGCCGCAATACCCCGCAACGCGGACCCGCTTTCGATAGCGAGTGGCAACAAGGCGCCTTGACAGAGCCGAACACTGCTTACGCTTTGGTAATGGGAACCATCCTCGATGTTCATTGTGCCTGTGTCCTTGTGAAGATTTTTTCTTTTCGTTTTTCTTATTGTTTTCGTCCTTGTTTGGTGCTTGTGATGTCTCGCGGGCTGGTGACGCCTATCGTTGTTGTTGGTGCTGCTGCTGCTACTGTTGATGCTATCTTTCTCGCTACTGCGATCGCCATTACCGTTCAGCCAGGCTTTTTTGTTTTTCTGCTGGTGCTATCGTTCACATCATCGTCATCGTTACCATTTCGCCAGGCTGTGCTGACATCCATCCGTGCGAAGCATTCCCAAGCGATCGAGCTGCTGGGACTGCCGGCTGAGGACAGCGAGCGAATCCAAGCCGTGGTGGAGAGCGATCTCTCCGATATCAGGGTCCTGCTCAAAGCTGTGCGTTGTTGCTATACTTCCCCGACGTTGCAGCATCGCGTTTTGATGGCGTCCTCCTGGTGGAATAGTGTCTGGGGAACATGCCATGCAATGAATACCTGAAGCCTTTTGGTGATCTGTTCCCACGCAATAGTGTCTTGTAAGCCTGATTCGATCTTGTTTCTACAGCAGTATTTCGTTACCCCAAGTCTAAAGCCTTTGAAGTGTAGAGGACACTAACAACATCAAATTATTCCTGTTTGTGGGGTAGTGGTGGTCGTCAACCCGGGCGTTTTGCCAACGAAATTGGACATCTCACGGCGACGCCAAAGTGAAAAAAGGGAAATCATCGTCGACAAGCATTGGCGTTTCTAAGGAACACTCAAAATGTTTGCGCGTTGACTGTATGTGATGGCGAAGATAAAATGACGAGACACGGACGCCTCCACGGTGCTATTTTTGTCAAATATACTACAATAGCGGTTCCGCCGGTTATTTCTGTGAAGCCTGCCTTCTGCACACCGTTTTTTGTTTCTGCGTGGGACGACCGTTTACGCGAACTTGATGAGACACGAGGACTCGATGGTTATTGTGTTTGTCAATTTAAGATAGTGGTTGCGCCTATTTTTCCCACCAGTCCGCGTACAACCCTTGCTGCTGTTCTGTGTCTGTGTGGGATAACCGTTAAGGTGCACCTGATGAGGCACGAGGACGGGAAGATGAGGGAGCTCGTGAGCGGCTTCGGAGAGGTATGGTCGTCTCAGATCTTGTGCGCTCTCCTCAACAAGAACTCGGAGGGCCGGCGTTTCTGCTTCTTGAACGCGAGGAGGGTACTGATCGTCGCCGATCCCCCGGAAGGAGAGGTGGGGCCAAATTTAGGCTACAGTGGGGGTCCTCGAATATGGCGGTGGTGGAAGCAGCTGATAGTGACCGCCTTGTATAGGGCAGCCGCTTATACGATGTGTGGAACAGCTTGAATGTTCCGTTCATGCCAGCCAACCTCACCCTCCTTCTATATGGCAACCAACTTGTATTGGGCGACCGCCTTACACAGGGCGACCGCCATATTCGGGGACTCCCAGTGTACCGTAGGTTACACAAGATAACANCCTCACCCTCCTTCTATATGGCAACCAACTTGTATTGGGCGACCGCCTTACACAGGGCGACCGCCATATTCGGGGACTCCCAGTGTACCGTAGGTTACACAAGATAACCCCCCCCCCCCCACCTCTGGCGCGCAACAGCCAAAGTCCCTTCCGGGACTTGCTGTATATACTCACTCGTGCCTGCCAGGTGGGAAACGCCGGGATGCCAAATCAACCCAGTGGCTATCTGGTTTGGCACAACAAGCGCAAGGATGATATTTCCAGCTTCTGGTTCCTCCTTGTGAAACGTAGCCTGGGCCGGGGACATGTCGCTCCGTCTCGGCATTGTAGGGATGAAAGGTCACGACTACGGCATGCGCTTTCACAAGAACACCCTCCCTCGACAAAGCTTCATAGCTCGATTGCTTCACGACGAAGAGGATGCCGAACGATTCTACGTCGTAAGACAGCTCTCGAGGGGACGATTCCAACGCCGCCACTTTCGGCATCCATCGCTCTGTTATTGCTTCAGACTTGTATTCGAGCTTTCCAAGTCGGTCCATGGGGTGTGGCATCTTATGCGACCCAACGGTTGGCTCTCCCGCTGCGTCTTGTGCGGTGCAAGGGAGTGCGTTGGGTCGAGGAACTGTCTCGTCCTTGCTCTCCTTGGTTGGCTCCAAGGATCCTGCCCTCATTGTTGTTGCGGTTGTCGTCCCTGGTGTTTGTTTGTTTACGCTGTGCTTGTTGCTGTTGCTGTGCTCGTCATTGCTGATGATGCGGACTTGGCGTTGTTCTTTGTGATCCTATTCTTCCACAGGCGATGTCGACATCTCCCGGCCCGGAGATAGACTGGGACGAGTCCCTCTCTAGGCTTGGAGAATTCCTCTCGTCTGAGGAGGCCAAGAGCTGTCCCACGGGCATCGTCATCACCGGCTTTGTCGCATCGACCAAGGCTGGGGTGGCCACCACGCTCCAGAGGTGCTTGCTGTTGTGTTCTTTCGCTGTTCGTCGCTGTTGTTGGTTGTTGCTGTTGCAGGTGCTGTTGTTGTTGTTGTTGTTGTTGTTGTTGCTGTTGATGATGATGATCGTTGCTATCTTGGCAAATAGCAGCCGTTCTGGTCGGAGTGACGCGGACGCTTTCCGTGGTCACAGACAAAGTACTGTACCCAATAAGAACAGATTGGAAGAGTCAAGAAGGAAGCTAAGAGGTGCGGAAGGCCGAGTACACGCTTCACGAACCTTCATATTTGGTCTTTGATGATGCTACCAGCAGCGGGGTTGCTGCGCACCTGCTAGTTCCGAGAACGATGTTTGTTATCCTGTGGCTTACAGCTGTTGCATCTGGCAAGTCAGTGGTGGCAAGCTCGATACGTCATTCCCGGCTATCATCCAATCGCAAACGGCGTATGATACACGACGCGTGCGAGGTAGACGTACTACGTCAGCAACGTATTTACGTTTTGACGGTGTTTGCTTCGCAAAAGAATGTGTTTGGTTGGCAGCTCAATCATTCGCCATGAGGTAGACTTTCTCCCTCAGATATTACTATTGCTCCCGCTTCACGATTGTTCGTCATTGTTTAGCGGCCGGCGACTGAATTACTCGTCTTCCTCCTGATTCGCCATGAATACCATAATCGCGCCTATTCACATCACGCGTGGGATTGGCGAATTGTCACTGTCACTGTTTCTGTGACGGCTGTGGTCGCGAGGAAGAGACGGGAGCGACTATTCTGCGAGCATTTTCGGGAAGCTTCTGCAAGCTTCGGCCGTGCAGATCTGGACAGACGTGGACGGCGTTCTCAGCGCCGATCCCAGGAAGGTTCCCGAAGCGAAAGTGTTGCCAGAGGTACGTGACATGAAACCGCGGGTGTGGGATATTTTTCCCTATTCCCTTAAGAGTTGTGTCGGGTGGAATAATTTGCCGATGCGGCAGGTTTTCTTTAACGTTGATGAACGATGGGTGGATGCTTGGGGCATCAGGCAACAGCACGCAAACCACACCCTGCCGCCGCGCGCGTACAACGTGGATTGCGGGAAAATGGGAGGCGATGCTTCCGTGTAGATTGCCGGCTAGTCCAACATAAACAAAAACGATACCAGTAACTCCCCAACGAGATTCAGCATGCGTTTGGTGTACCGTTTCATCCGTTCGCAGATGTTACTTCATGTGGCAAACGATCACCATCATGACGTCCAAAACCATGAAAACAAGCATGCAGTCTTACAGCAGTACAGTACGTCCCACGCACGGCTCTTGTTTTCTGCCATTGTTCGCGTATACCTTTGTCATTCCGCGCCGTCGTTCCGTCCCGCGCCGAACGTACGGCTCTTGTTTTCTGCCATCGTTCACTTGCACCTATGTCATCCGCGCCACCGTTCCGTCCCGCGCCGAACGTAGGTGTCGTTCAACGAGGCGGTGGAGCTGGCCTACTTCGGCGCCAAGGTGATCCACCCCAAGACCATGCAGCCCGCCGTCACGGCGGGGATCCCCATCCTCATCAAGAACACCTTCAACCCCGCCTTCCCCGGCACGAGAATATTCACCTCCAGCACGGCAACCAAGGACAGGAGACGGGTGGGTGTTTTTTTTTTTTGCTTCCTTCTTCTTCTTCTTCTTCTTCTTCTTCTTCTTCTCTCGTCTACAGCAGCTAGCTTCGATACCAGCACACCACCCTAATCTTACAGGACCACTGCTGATGTCTTCTTCCTCTTCGTCGTCTTCTTGTTCTTGTTCTTCTTCATCATCTCTTGTCTTTAGCAGTCAGCTTTGATTCCAGTGCACCACCCCTAATCTCGCACAGCAGCTTCGATGCGTACACTGCATCACCCTATTCTTCTCCCCCATCGAGTCTCTTTTCTCAACGTTCCGTCTTCGTTGCGGCTCTAGATCACCTCCCTCCCCGTGCTTCCGCAAAATATGTTTAGTGCATTTGCGGCTTCAGCACGATGGACAACATCGCCCTCCTTAACCTGGAAGGGATGGGCATGGCGGGCCACCCCGGGGTGGCAGCGAGGCTCTTCGGAGCTCTCCAGCGCGTGGGGATATCGGTCATCCTGATTTCTCAGGTATTCAGGGGCGCACGTACGGCAACAAGAGGCATACCGCGGAAGGACTTGACAATGCGCATGGAATAACTCTGGTCCCGATTGATGTTTTCGTTTTTCGGGGGTGAATAGTTCATTCTGTGACATGTCGTCCGTCACGTCGAAGAGGTGTTGTCTGACCGCACTGCTCGATCGAAGCCCATCACATTCCATCCGACCCCGTCCCGTCTCCGTCCCGTCGCATCCCATCCCCCCCCTTCGCACCCCATCCCGTCCTATCCTGTGCCACCCCATTACATCCCGTACCGTTTCCGTCCCCATCCCATTATTTCCTTGCCCACCTCACGCAATCATTATTCGTCTCGTCGCGTCATACCATCCCGTCCTACCCCGTGCCACCCCATCACATCCCGTACCGTTTCCGTCCCCATCCCATTATTTCCTTGCCCTCCTCACGCAATGGTTATTCGTCTCGTCGCGTCATATTGTACCCCGTTGTTGTCCAGGCATCGTCTGAACACAGTATCTCCGTGGCGATAGAGGTGGCGGGGGCCGCGGCGGCGAAGAAGGTCACGGAAGAGGCGTTCGCCGTCGAAATCAGAAGCGAAACCGTCGCCGTGGATGTCATCAGGTATATATGTAGTTCGCGTTGTGAAGAGAGAGAGAATCGGTCGTGCGTGCTTTCGCGTCTTTTGCCGCCGCAAAGTAATGAACAAGCGCACCGACCGCCTGTTCGACAGGATCATCGCAATGAGGCATGGCTCGCGCGGGAATCGAGGTGTGCGTTCGACCCCCATGCAGGACAAAGGGAAACACTCCAGAGAGTATCCGTGACATGAGCAGCTCGTGAAAAGTCTGCGAGGAGAAGTGGTTACGATCACCAGCACCCGTTGTCGCCGTTGTCGCTGCATTGATGATACATAGCACAAGGAACTGCTGTTGGTAGCATTTGTAAAAGGTGGTGGGAGTTGGCGTGTCGTTGTTGCATCTGTGCCGGACACCACGCTATGTACATGGGATGCCTCGAAGACGCGTTTTGGTGGCTTGCATTCACTCGCGTTCGTTCACAACAGCGCTTGCCAGTCTCAAGACTACTGGTTGGGCTAGAACTCCCCCAAGTGTCTCTCTCAAAGCTGCTCGTTGGACTATGGCAGCACACCACTCTACTGCTACTGGTGTTACCGCACCAACCCGCGAGGAATCTGAACTTCCTTCAGTCACCCGTTCGTGCTTCGGACCATTCCCGCGCCATACCGTTTCCATGCCAATTTCACTCCAATTCCATCCCATACCCATACCATTTCCACGCCATCTGCGTTGCATGCGTTCACAGCCCGTGCTGCATAGTGGCCGCCATCGGAGACGGCATGAGTCACACTACAGGGGTGTCCGGCCGCTTCTTCGAGGCCCTGGGGAGCGCCAGCATCAACGTGCTCGCCATCGCGCAGGTACGGAGGTGTCTCGCATCCCGCTCCACCTTGCTTGAGTTGGTGGGAGGATTCGCTCATACTCACTCTGTGTACAAATAGGGACACCCACCCCCCAAGCGGCTTGCCATAAATTCAAACACAATAATAGCTCACGTGCGTGCGTCTGTCGAGGACGCCCAACCTCGGTTACCCACGCAAGCCTGTCCTCGGACCTGAACGTGTACGCCAAGAGTATGCATACCACCACCGGTTCCTACGTATGTGTTTTTCGTGTTTTTCGCAACGGCCCGACGTTTTTTCTGCCCCTGGCACTCTGAAGTTTCCCGAAGCCTTGTTTCGTAGGGCTGCCGGAGGCGACGGGGAATCGCACGGCAGCAGAGGGTTGGGGGTTTACGGCACGCTCTTTTGGTATCTAGGCTACATGGTTTTTGTGATGACTAAAACCTTCACACTTAATGTTGTACTCTCTCTCTCTC